GTTTTTCATGTTTCACACCTTTCTTCTTCCAATAGTTGTGGTTCTTCGTACCATAAAGATACAGCGAGCTTAGAAAGATTACTAGCAGAATTAATGCAATCATGTTTACTGTGATTGATATTGGCTCTTAATGATAACAATTCGAAAGTCACTTCTGTATATATATTGAAATTTAGTATATGACCGATAAGATAGTATAATTAGGCAACTATCATTTGCTAATGAGTAATTTTATTTTATTTATTATCCTCTTAGATAAAGAGAACAATAATAAAAAGAAAAATATACTCGTACTGTTATTTTGGATACGAACTAGTTTACGTATTTCTATACTGGTTAACACATAGTTAGTGCAGTATATGTAGTAATTAATAAAAAATGCAGAAAAATTATAAAAATCTCACTCGTTATATGGGATGTATTATGGAATATAAGTGCTGAGAGTGAACGATAAAGTAACTATAAGTAATATGTGAATGACCAGTCTTAATGTGTTTACATCTGATCTGAATCTGAATTAAATTAAACGTATTATATACAACGAGAAAAGGTTAATAGGAATTGATGTAAATCAGGAGGAGTAAGATAGTCAAGGCAAATTAAAGCAATACCATCGAGATGAGCTGTTCTCTTTATGTTTTAGAATGAAGAAAGTCAAAGACGTTCTACAAAAAAAATTGGTTGAAGAAGTATTTAGTATTAAGTTCAGATGTTATCTAAAAAAAAGTATGTTTGTGCAGGATCGTCGAACTCATTAGCATTATCTTAAGGTAGTGTTCTACTTGTGCATTTGTATTTTTTCTTGTAGATGGGCGGAAAAACAACAGAAAATATTGTGCCTTTCTTACCTACCAGGGTACGAAGGCACAACATCATAGTCTTCAAGAGTAGCAGTTCATAAGGGGGAACCATGAGCATCACAGTGTATACTATGATGTCCATGGTACTGTTCATATGTGTAGGCGATGGTTATTATTTTCTACTAGGTGGGCCCTCAGCTTTATTACCATTTCAAGTATCACAAAAACAAAAAAAAAAACATTAAATTATAATTCTATTATTCATATCCTTTCTTTGTTTTTTGAAAAATTAACAAACTCACTGGGAGTTTTTTCCAAAAAACATGGGATGAAAGATGGCAAAGAAAGAGTTTTTACTAAAAGCGCTGGATTCGTATGAACCTTATGTTATTCGTTTTATTTTTGGTAAAATATTCTGCATATTTATTTAAATAGCAATATTGATTAAAGTTTGCCTCTTATAGACTGGCACGGTGTATCTACCTGTTATGTACGAGTGGCATAAATGTTTTCGTTTCTAAAAGGCAATGTTTCTTTGGTAAAAATCTTCTAGTCGTGCAGTCTCGAAGTTGACATGAGTAAACCAGATGAAACAGTTCTGACTCACGATAGTTAGTCTTCAACAATAGTAATAACAATAATAAATGGTTTGCATAAATATGGCCGAAATAGACCTTAATTAGTGTTGTAGAATCACATATTTAGTCGCATTGTTTTAATAGCCTAAAAATGTAGTCTTATTTCCGTGGATATATTTCATATGATGTCAGACCTTACCTTACTACTAATATTTATTCTTATTTGACAATGTTGAAATGATTTGTTATATTTATTTGATATATTTGTTTAATTACATTAGTAGACTAATCAAGTACGATAATGATTTTAATTTATCATGTACATTTAAATAAATGGACATATAAAACGGATTTTACCTAAAAGTATAATAATCATTGTTAATGACTTGTATAAAAATATATTTAATGCCTGTATTTAGTGGAATATTGAAGCTGTTAATTTCATTATAATTAAGTATTGATAATGATAATTTATTATCATCGGCGATATGTCTTGTCAGTGTTTATCAGGGAATTTACAAGGATCTAACTAGAATGATCCGAGTAGCTCGGAATTTGAGATCAAGTATCTTCATAATTCCCGATGTAAAAAGAAGTGGTAATAAAATAATGGGTGTATATACATGTAAACGAATTTGTTAGTTCTTAAAAATATTATTTTATTATATAAAAAATACAGTCGAATTGAAGATTTTTCTATTGAATGTTAAGTGTATTATATTTATTTATTCTTTGTTGACTACATTTAAAAAAATGTCTGCTACAAAAGACAGACTGGTTGTAAACGATATGAGAATAGATTAAAAAATGGCTCTCTTATAATAATAATAATAATACTAGAGGGAGACTTTGTACAAAAATCGTTTACTTGGACACCTTTGTCCCTTTCGTGTTTCTACCGTGAAACAGTTTTGTTTGCATAGCTGTGTTTCGGTTTGAAGAGTGATATATGGCGTGAATTTACTGGCTACAGAGGAATAACACCTGAGTCCTCAGGAATGGCAACGCATGGAAGGTATAATGGGCGAAACAGTATACTCTGTTATGTCCGTGGTACTGCTCATGCCTATAGGCGACGGTTACCACTTTCCATCAGGTGGGCCGTCAGCTTGTTTGCCATTTTAAGTTGCATAAAAAAAGTATGTGTACTTAATAAAGTATATGATCACATCAGTTGATTCAGATCTTCAGATATGTTTTTATATAATTTGCATGTGGATGCTCTGGGATATGGGTGTCATTTTGAAATTATTATTATTTTGTCTCGCATATATTTCACGACTGTTTATTTTTTTTTTTTTAGTACAGAACCCTCTACTCGTGACCTATTTATGCTTGTCTGCTTTTTAATTTGCTAAAAATACACAAGATTACAATCGCATTTTTTTTATAATTACAAGATACAGTAATAACTATATTAATGTAAACAATGGCGCAATCTGATATTTAAAGAAATATTTTTGATTATCCGCTGTTGGTATTATGTTCCATATATAATGTGTCATAAGGTGTCCGTTTCTTATCGTGTCGCAGTATTATAATATCATTTAGTAACAAATATCAGAAGGAAACATCTAGCAAAATATACCGTTATCTAAAAGACAATAGAATTCCACTAAGTAAGTTATTATTGGGGGGGTTTCCACTACCGGATTTATCTCATCACATCTCAACACACTGATATACAAAAAATCGAAGTTTCACAATCCCATTAGCGGAACACTTAAATTGTCTAGAATTTATGTTATGATGTTTTGCTTTCACAAAATTTTTAAAAATATTTTTACATGTTTAACTAAAAAGGTAGCAGGAAAGTTAATAATTTGTGTATGTATGTATGTGTTAAATGCTCTATTTTCAGATTTTTATGTCTCTTATTGACTAACTAGTTTTTTCATGTATCAATATCTAAAATTATATTCACAATGAGCAGCTAAATTAATCTTTCATAGAATTTTAAAAATATATCTCAAGATTGATACATGTATAGTTAAATAAATGAATATCTAGTTAAGAAACTGTATATCCAAATATTATAGTTTGAAAGACTTAGTAAACTTATTTTTAGCAGACTTGACTCCGTGTGAAGATAGAATAGTGGACTCAACTTGCTAGTATGATATACTGTGCATTTGCATTTCATTTGACAATATTTTTGTTAGTTAAGTGGACATTATTCTGATTTCCTCATTGAACTAAACGTTGGCGTGATATTTCCTGACCAAATGCATACATTAAAAGCTAGTATGGAAGTTACGTAAGGCTGTTCATGCATTGTTACTCGACAAAACACTCAACTTGTCTTTTGTTTATCACTTATATTTGTTTTATATTCTTTTCCTAGTTTAATTTTTTCTACCGTAATATTTTGTATATAAAATAGAACAGTAAGGCTCATGAAATCTATAGGTAAAAGCTGAGGTTGCCCTAGAAATTTCATGATAATTTCATTTATTGCTAAGTAAAATAAGAAAACAGGAAGAAATAATTAATTTAATTTCAACTTTACTTCCAAACAAAGTGAGTAACAGAAAATCAACTGAAAAAAGATATTGTGGACATAGAAGTAAATGTATTTTTTACATAAATTAGAGTAGCGAGCAAGTTGATAACCTATTTTATTGCTACAGACATAAAGGTATACCATGGAAATTACAGGATTATACTGGAACATTCCATGTGGTATCGGCGTAGAATAGCCCACTACTTCCTTTCCCGTGGGTGTCGTAAGAGGCGACTAAGGGAAGGATAGGTAGCAGCGTCCTTCTTAAATATCACTAAAAGCCAAACTGCGGTTGCTAACCCGCTTGCCAAGCGTGGAAACTACTGGCAAAACTCCTTATGGGAGAGGCTATGTTCCGTTAATGGCTGATACAACAGCTGGAAAGTTTATAGTGCATCTCATACGTGATCATGCCATTATTCCGTAGATAATAAATCGTAACTAAATGAATATGTGGTCCACTTAAGAGCTTAATAAGAAACGTCAAAATTAATTTGAAAATGTCAAAAATATCGGGAAGCATACACGCATAAAAAAAATATACTCTAATTAAGAACCTATTACTTGCAGTTGCTTATTCATTCAGGGAGATTTGTTTTAGATTAGTTAAATTTTTAAAAGTTCTGTTACTATTTGGGTAAAACGGAATTTCTATTAGTCATACCAGTAGATCTTTCTGAGTATTTTCACATTACAGTCCATTCCTTTTACAGTTAAAGACACATTTCAAGAAACGTATCACAAAAAGGTATCTTGAAATAAATTAAAAAAAAAGTTGAATGCTTTAGTGAACCTCTTTATCCACTGAAGTATTTAAATGTTTATTTTTATTAAATCTATCATACATCTAATGATGAAAGATCATTGAAGATCGGACGGACCATTCATTAGCTTACTATTACACTAATACAATTTAATAACGTAGTTATAGAGCAGTGCAGTATAGGTCGTAGCGCTACTGCAAGTTAAGCAACACCAGCCATGGTTCCAACTAGGATGGGTGATCACAATCCGTACCATATGGGATGGAGGTTACTTTTTACCGCTGTTAGTAAATATGTCTGTGCCACACGGACGAAGTCGCGGGCGAAAGCTAGTAATAAAATAAAAAGCCTCGTGTGGATATAATTTAAATGACTTTTATTATATCTGATAAAATATTAAATTAGCATTATTAATAATATAAATATACTTAAATTATAATCCATAATAAATATTAGCCTTAATTGAGATTTCTTTTTATAATCTAATAACAAATAAATGTATACCTACAATGTTATTAATTCTATATCACGTACACTATGATAAATATTTTTTTTATAACAATTAGTTAAACTAGCACATTTTTTCTTTTCTTTCCCGGAATATGAGCGGTATGCCGCCTAAAATGTTCTGCACGATGTTCGACTTGGGGTCCGACGTGAGCTCCCGCTTGGACTCCGACGCGGGCTCCACCGTGAAGCGCGCCAGCACCGCGGCCAGGCCCGCCACAGACTGCATCTGACCAAGTCGACCGCCTGTCAACACAATAGAAATATAAATTGTCAATCATAATCGTCTTAGTAACTAAATTATTTACTAATACTCAAATTATTAGGAAATAATATTGATAAACGAACATCATCAGCAAGTACAGCTAGCTACAGTTTTGCAAATTATATAATTAATACATACCGATGCAGTTGCGGGGTCCGTCTCCGAACGGCAGATAGACAAACTTGTGCCTTTTGCTGACCTCTTCAGGTGAAAACCTTTCTGGCCTGAATTCCGTTGGATTATCAAAATATTTAGGGTCGTTGTGTATGGCCTGTATGGGAATAGTTATTTTGACACCTTCGTCGATTGTTATGTCAGTGTCCGGTATAGTGTATTTTTTTACACATCTTCTCATCAGAAACCCTGATGAAGGGAACATTCTCATTCCCTCTTGAAAAGCCCATTGCAAGTATGTCATTTCCTTTACTGCATCGTAGCTTAGTTTATTGTCATATTTCATTAACACTGTATCTATATTTTCCTGTACTTTCTTTTGGACACTAGGATTGAAAGCCAATTGATGTAATGTAAAACTAGTAGCGGAAGATGATGTCTCGAAACCAGCTGCGAAGAAAATGAAAGCTTGTGCTGCCATCAAGTAGTCATCCATTTCGAGTTCTGCTATTTCAGGGGTGCCATCAGGTTTTGCTCGTTCCAGGGACTCTACTACAATTTTACCCTTCTGTTTTAATTCCATCAACATATCTATGAAGTCATTGCGACCGGAAGGTTTATAATTTCTTTGCTTTTGTATAGCATTCACTAAATTTAGTATGTCATCTTCCAGATCTTGACCAAGAAATTTGAGATGCTTGAATATATCGGGAAACAGAGTCTTAAATATTACTGTAAAAGCACGAGTTAGAGACATGCTAAAAATCTTGACACCCACATTCCTTATAGCGGAATTTTCTTCATTAAGTGAATCTGCATCGAGTCCGAAACCACAAGCACCAATGAAATCAGTAGTGTACCGCGCCATAAGGTCCCGAGCATCTATAGGCGTGCCAGTAGCGGCGGAGGAGAGCGCGCGCGCCTGCAACTTCTCCGCTCGCTCCACGATCAGCGGGAACATCGCCTTCAGCTTGCCACTTGTGAAAGCCGGGGTCATTCGCTGTCGAAGCAGCCGCCATAGGTCTCCATCAGCGAAAAACAAATTTCGTAGTAATGGCTCAATAACTTTATGTTCAGGGGAAAGTCCACGAGAGTAAAAGTTATTAAAATCAGTGATGAGAATCCTTTTAATAAGATCTGGATCTCTCACTACTAATTCTGGTATGTTACCTCGATAGTAGCCAACGAAGCGCTCTTCTGGAAAATTCCAATAGGTATCTGCTGCCATTTGTGTAACATTTCTCTGTAGAAAGTAGCGCTTGGTGTCGGTGCCGAATAATGGAACTGGTTTTTCATGTTTCACACCTTTCTTCTTCCAATAGTTGTGGTTCTTCGTACCATAAAGATACAGCGAGCTCAGAAAGATTACTAGCAGAATTAATGCAATCATGTTTACTGTGATTGATATTGGCTCCTAATGATAACATTTCGAATACCGCTTCTGTTTATATATTGAAAATAAATATTATCGATAAGATAGTATAATTAGGCAACTGTGATTTGGGAATGTGTTATTGTATTTACTCTTCTGATAAAGACAACAAAAATATGTTTGTATATTAGATAATAATCTGTGTATTCCAAAAATGGGTTACAAAATAGTGTCCTTAATATATAATAACTGAAAATAACATAATAGAAGCAGATGACAGCAATACACTTAAAATAATTTCGGTATTGCCAGCGATATATAGCATATGGTCATTTGAAAAATAGGCTGCTTGATAACATAAAGAAGTTGGTATTGCACAATTAATCCTTGTTTAAAAACTCTGGGACAAATGAGACAGGATTGCAGTTCTTTCTTCTTGATTTTGAAGACAACAATGACAGAGCAAAGTGGTGTAAGATATTAAGGCAAGATAATGTTGGTGCTATGTGCACTCAAGGAGTCGTAATTCAAAAAGATCTAATTGTGTATCAAATAATCTTTATGAAATACTTAACATTTTGAGTTTTCAAGTAGTACCTCTTGAATATTCTTAGTTATTAGGCCGAAGTGTGCTTTGAAGCTACACACTAGCTATGGTTCAAAAGGGGATGAGAGAAAAATTGTTGATAACATGCAACATGACCGTTAAGTGGCTGATATGGTTAATTAAGTATAGTTTTGGCGAAACAGAACAGGGAAGATATAAAACTTTTTTACTTTTTTTATGCAATTTAGATTCATCATCATCATCATCATATTATGTTATACTTTTTCTCCCTCTCTACCCTTTGCTATATGTTCTCTTGGCCTGGATGAATTAAAGGACTAAGGGTTGTGATTCAAAATGACCAAAATTAAGAAAATAACAAACCCACATAAGTACAATCAACTTTAATAGTAAACCAAGAAAATCAAACTATACAAAACAAGTGGTATTTTATATTAACAACACTTCAGCTTTTGTACAGCTTAACATGAGTGTTCTATTACATTATATAAAAAAAGGAAAAAAAGAGTCCTAGAGATGAGGAGATTTAAAAAAAGAAAGTTATACTATATACTCGTATTCCCCTGCCTGCCTGTAATTATGTGGGCGGTCTGCTCCTGGACTTCGGTGAGGTATTGAAAGGGGTGGGCGCGCCCTGCTCAACCCACTGGTACTCCGTCTATAGGTCCAATATTCCTGATTTATCTGCAGTGTATGATAAAAGGCTCTGAAGTAGCCAGAAAGATATGGTGTCAACAGAGGGATACTAAATTAGATAAACAACAGACATGTAAACAAGAGCTACACACTAATTCGAATTAAATACATTTGTTTTCTACTTTGATTTATTTATTTTTCCTTTTATCAAACTTGGAATGGCAAACAAGATGGCAGCACACCTGATGGAAAGTGGTAATCGTCGCCTACAGACATGAGCAGTACCTTGGACATAACAGAGTATCCTGTATTGCCCATGGCATTGCCATTCCTGAGGACTCAGGTGTTATTCCTCTGTACCCGGTAAATTCACGCCATATCCCACCGTTCAAACCGATACACAACCAAACGTATTGTATAAAAAAAATATTAAGATATTATCTTGAAATTGTTTTAAGTAATAAGTAAATGACTGTATCAAAAATTTATTATTATCGGCGATTAGCAATAATGTGTCATCAATGTTTGTTACGGAATTGATTACAATCTCATTACAAGTCTTCGCGAGATCAAGATTAATATGTTATCAAACCTTGTTCTTGGTAGTCACATATAAATTTGTAGATTTTCCTTTATGAACTTTTCGTATCGTTTTGAGGCGTGTATTTTTTTTTATATACAACTTAGAATGGCAAAAAAGCTGACGGCCCACCTGATGGAAAGTGGTAACCGTTGCCTATAGACATGAGCAGTACCATGGACATAACAGAGTTTACTGTTTCGCCCATGATACCCCCATGCGTTGCCATTCCTGAGGACTCAGATGTTATTCCTCTGTACCCGGTACATTCACCCAGTATTAAGTACCCAGTATATTTTTAGTTATATCGATATGATATTTCAAATACTTGTAATTAGTTAAAACGTTTTCAAGATTAACATGTGACTGGTTTTGAAATATCATCTTCTGGTGTTTCAGGTATGTTTGATGAAATTCTGAATTCAAGCATTTGATTTTTTTTTGTTAAGTATTGTCTTATACTTATACCTTGTACGTATTAATACCTACGTGTGGATTCGTCAAAGATCCGCTGACATACAAAACCAAAGATGGATACAGGCTACTGATTGCAGACAATCAAAATTGGCCGTGCCTACGTTGAATCAACGACTATCAAAACGTTTATTACATCTAGATAGAAAAAACTTCAAAATAATGATAGGGACAATAACGGGTCATTGTCCATTAAACAAACATCTATACATAATAAGAGCCACAGACAGCCCTCTATGTCGAGGCTGTTTCGACGCCGAAGAAACGGCTGCCCACGTAATCCTGGAACGTGAGGCTGTGGCCGATCAACATTTAGAAATCCTCGGAACGGTGAGGTCGCTCCGTGAGGCCTGTGAAGAACCCAGGAAGCTTCTGCGCTTCTGGGCAGAACTAGGTTGGCTGCACTAGCCACGACTCATACGCACAGTGGTCCAAATGAGAGGATAAGCGAGGAAAATGAAGTCTTTTTCACATTCACATAGCTACGTGTAATCGCAATTTAGTGAAAAAATATGACAGCAATATTCAGGAATATTGATTTTATATTGTAATTGTGTTGTTTGGGCTATCTATTCTAATTTATATATTTTATAATTTCACTGTATACTTTGTTCACCATTTTTTTTTTAATTTAAATGGCAAACAAATTTAAAGGTTATCTAATATAAAGTAATATTTGTTGATAGATATGAACTAAGGAGATCACAGAATATACTGTGATATCCACGAAACCTATCATCATTTAGCAAAAGGGAGACTTTGTAAAAAAGTCGTTTGCTTGGGTACCTCTGTCTCATTCGTGTTTCTACCGTGAAGCAGTTGTGTTTGCATGGCTGTGTTTCGGTATGAAAGGTGGGATATAGCAGTGAGTTTATAGGGTACAGAGGAATAACACCTTAGTCCTCAGTAATGGCAATGCATAGGCAAAACAGTATACTCTGTTATGTCCATGGTACTGCTCATGTTTATAGGTGACGGTTACCGCTTTCCATCAGGTGGGCTGTCAGCTTGTGCCATTCTAAGTCGCATAAAAAAAATTAGAAGGAAATGATTTTTCTCCAAATTCATATTCTCCGTTTATTTCTTTTTTTAGCTCGGAACCCTTTTACATGTAATTTATTTACATTTATCTTTTTTATCTAAAAAACTTATCGTAAGATTGTAATCTTAATTATTTTAGTCTCAAAGATAATTACAGGATACAATAATATCATTTATGTAAACAATAGCGCAATCCGATACAGTAATAATCCTTTTTTAATTATAATTCATCATTGGTATAATATCTTCAACACTTTATGTCGTAAGGTGTCCGTTTCTTATCATATATTGTAACAGAATGTTAATTAGTAAGTATATAGGTATGCACTAGAAGGAAAAATGTTGTAGTAAGTAGTACAGTATCGTAAACAATGCCAGATCCCTGCCACACATTGCTATTAATCTAGATTGTTCTAGGTACCGTTGTATTTATTGATATTTATTATAATTTTGACAACCAGCAATCGATAATGCATGCAGTTATTAAGCGACTTCTTTTTTTTACACAGGGTATGCGGTGAGTATGCGTATCCACTTCCAGCAGCAGTATTTCCGAACCGATACGACAACATAACCTTCAAGAAAAGAGCATATTCCTTTTTAAAAGGCCGGCAGCACACCTGCAATGCCGTAGGTATTGTGGGTGACCATGGGCGGCGGTAGTCACTTACCATCAGGTGAGCCGCATGCTCGTTTGCCCCCAGTGTTGTAAAAAAAAAATCATATGTTGGTACACAAGTGACTACAGCCGCCCATGCATATACAATATTGGAGGAACTGCGGGCGATCTTTTAAAAAAAGAATATGCTCTTCTCTTGAATCATTCCAGTTTCAATATATATAACATATATGAATGCCCAAAAATTATATAAATGAACAAGTTCACTTTAAGTTGATCGTGTCTGGATACCTTTTTAATGTCCATTGCAGAAAAAAAACATAGCTGTCAAATTATTTTTTTTAATAATTTTTCTCCTTGATTTATTTATCTTAATTATCGGTTTTCCAATATATAATATCGAAATGAAGGTCCTCATTGAAATGAATATGAACATCTGCCTGGTATGGGGCGATATTAAATGGGCGATGTTGTTTTTTCCGCCAACAACATTCAGAGGAATCCACATTATAGATTTCGGAGTAGTAGTTTATTACTATGCTTATTTTGTAGTCGATACTTGCTTTCATATTAATTTTATGATGATTAAGGACGCTGTATTTTTTACAAAGCAAAATCTTTAATGATAAATTTTGCATATTCAATATAGAGATAGAAGTATTTCGCAAAGAGAATAAAGAAGAGGTCATTGTCCAGCAGTGGATCACTTAAAACAAATAGTGTAAAAAAAATATGTAAACATTAAAAAATATAGAAAGATGTTAAAAATGGAACAATAGTTGATTTTACAATTCTTCAAGTTCTAAGAAATGTGGCGGACAGACGTCGTTTAATAGTTAGTATGTAAGTATTTTTTAGTATTAATCTACAAATTAAATGCATCGAAATGTAGTCAGTAAGATGCAGTCACCGTTTTGGTCGGTACGGTCGAGCTAATTAGATTACGCTGTAATACTGCAAACCACATTTGGATGTAACTGCCCTAAATGTAGGAGTGCGCCGGGCTTGCGGAGGCTGAGGTTCATGGTTCACCGTAATATCATAATCTCAAGTGGCTAATTCTGGGCACTAACTTTATTAGAATTTTAGGATATTTTGATTTTGAGTTCTCAAGAATGGCAACACATGGGGGGTATGGGCGAAACAGTGTACTCTGTTATGACCATGGTACTGCTCATGTCTATAGGCGACGGTTACCACTTTTCATCAGGTGGACCGTCAGCTTGTTTGACATTCTAAGTTGTATAAAAAAAATATAATAGATACCAATATGATCAAAATTTTGCATGTTGTTAAATAAAGTGAAATGTATGGCGTCATTAATATTTAGAACCATTCATATGTCTGTATGATTTAATATAAAAGGAATGTTATACAAGAGGCATGCCCATGCCATACTGCCCAGTAGCGTCTTTCTTAAAACATCATTAAGAGCCAAACTGCGGTCGCCAACCTGCATGCCAAGCATGATAACAACTGGCAAAACCCCCTTATGGGGAGGCTATGTTTAGTGGTGGACAATTAACAGTTGATACGATATACAGACCACATATAAAATCGATTTTTTTTCTATTATATATGATTGGTTTGAAATAATGCTACCAATATTCGGTATTTATCAACATCCCCAAAAGAAAATCAAAGGAGATGTAACATACTAGCACAATATTTTATTTGTCCTTTATTTACTTTTTATCTATTTTAAGATAGAAGTAAATATGAAGTATTGTTTAATCCCTTAAAAATGATAACAGCTATAATGTATATTTTATTGCACTAAAAAGTGTAAGTTACACAATATGAAGTCACAAACTTTAGGAAAGGTTCCGAGTCGCCTCTCGGGGCCGCAACGAAGACAAAGTTTATTCTCTGCGATCTCGACGACAAGTAATAGGACTCGAGCAAGGCAAACGACTCACAATTTCACAGGTGTCCGTATCTCAAGAAAGAAATGTTAGCAATAACTCACGTTATTACCATGACAATGGCGGTGCGGGAGCCGCAACAATTCCTGTCCATTGAACGGAGTTCGCTCGTTAAGGGGAATAAATAAAGTGGGGAAACCCTTGATGTCTGAACGCTCGCACACCGATTCTTGTGTGCGGTCAGGCGCAACTAAAACAATCTCTATTGTGTACAGGTTAGAGTCCACGTTGGCCGCAACGTGTGCAGAGTCGCTGGTAAATCTGAAGAGAGCCCGCGATCGCGCCGTAATTGCTTATAGCCTTTTATATTTAGCTTTATTCGCTGGATGCCTTTGTGGGTCGGTCGCGATGCTCAAATACAATTTGTTTTGTCGCAGCTCTCGACTGCGAGGGACGTCGTTTTGCATGTCATTCTTGGAATTAAGTCGCCGACGTGGAAGTGAGCAGCCTTTGTAACTTGAAGACTCTATTAGCGATACGCAGTTTAATATTGTGTACAAATATTAAAACACGTATATCTTAGAACGTGTAATGTAATAAACAATTTGAGTTTCTTTTGATGGATTTTGGGTAGTTATAATCTATTAGATGTATTACTGTGCATCTTCCAATAGTTTCTTTATGTATGAAAGTAGAATGATTACCCAGCTTATTTTATCGGTTAGCTAGGCATCAGAGAAAGGTGATGGGTGAGGATTAAAGCAAGTCAATTAGTCCAGTGTGATTAATTTCACAATAATTAATCACCATAGTTTCCATGGGAAACCGCGTGGAGGTCAAGCTGTAACAGTAAAGTAGATATTACTAGTAATAGAGCTGTTACTAACAGCTCTTACTTAACAATTTCCATATACACTCCTCGCAAAAATTAAGGGAACATAAAAATTATTGAAATTTTTGGGTGATTTTCAACAGGCTGTATTTCAGTGATAAATAATAGTACAGGAAATTTAAAAAAAGGGTTTTGAAGCTTGAAAACTCTAGTTTTCAGATTTTTTGGTGAAAAAATTTTTTGAGCTTCGGTTTCCATGCAATTCTTAAACAAAGCTGAAAATATTTTTTTTCTAAATTTTCTAGGTTTTGTTTTTCACTCTATGGGCATGGAAAAATTTTTTCGAGCTACTCCATTGTATAGGTCTCTTAGCGTGTTTATTCAGCTTCAAAAATCGCTTTGGATGGCTCAATTACGACCATTTGTCTCCGAGATATCGAACTTTGAATGCAAAAGCATCCTTTTCCATTCAACTGCTAATATCTCTGGAACTACTGGTCGCACAGCAAGCGGGCGCCGAGTTTCTTTATCTGCATAAAATTTTCTTGATTTTTTTCAATTTTTTTTTTGATAATGAATTTTTAAAAAACAAAAAATTGAGTAAAAAGTGAAAAACAAATGAAATTATTGATTTTTGAATGGATTAGGGTGAGTTTAAGGGACAAAAACCTTGTTCCCTTATTTTTTCCAAAATTTCAATCAATTGGTCCGGGAAAAACTGTTGAACCGATCGCTCCAGGGATTTGGGGGGTTCTTTAAGGAACAATAGACTGTAAAATTTTCCTCAAACCTTAGCTTTCCCGCCCATATTAGCGAAGATACAGCCAAGTAACCAAAAAAGGAGAAAAAGTCACTTTTTTCCACTTTTTTCAATTCAATGTTAGAGGTGGAAAAAAATTTTTTCTTCACTAACTCTTGACTGTGCTTAATTGGAAATTTTATGCAGATAAAGAAACTCGGCGCCCGCTTGCTGTGCGACCAGTAGTTCCAGAGATATTAGCAGTTGAATGGAAAAGGATGCTTTTGCATTCAAAGTTCGATATCTCGGAGACAAATGGTCATAATTGAGCTATCCAAAGCGATTTTTGAAGCTGAATAAACACACTAAGAGACCTATATAATGGAGTAGCTCGAAAAAATTTTTCCATGCCCATAGAGTGAAAAACAAAACCTAGAAAATTTAGAAAAAATTTATTTTCAGCTTTGTTTAAGAATTGCATGGTAACCGGAGCTCAAAAAATTTTTTCACCAAAAAATCTGAAAACTAGAGTTTTCAAGCTTCAAAACCCTTTTTTTAAATTTCCTGTACGATTATTTTTCACTGAAATACAGCCTGTTGAAAATCACCCAAAAATTTCAAAATATTTTATGTTCCCTTAATTTTTGCGAGGAGTGTATAATAATCATTTTTTAATTTGTAATAATCACATTCTTTAAAAATTAAGAGGATATAGGCCTAGATATATTTCGAGTCAGGCGTCTTTGTATAGACTATTGGGTATAGTTGTTCTAGAGTTCTAAAGGCTAAGGTTTAATAAGATGGTTTAATCAGCAACTCTAACGTTACTAAAGGATATTTTTTTAAATTTTTTAGCACTAAGCTGAGCTATATTGAATACTTAAGGGACTTCTGTGCAAATTCCTATCGGTTGCTTTAGGTGTGAAAAATTAATTAGTTGTACACAAGGATATGCGTATTCAGTTAAGAGTATAGATTATCTAAGATTCTTGTTAAAAATTACGAATCAGAGAAGTAAAATTAACATGTTGAAGAAAAAACGTACAGGTATTTGAAGGGAGCGGTGACCTGGATAAATGTACGATGCCAGGACGTCCGCCGTTCAGTTGGTATCTACAACTTGAAATCAGTAAACTTTCAATATCAAAAATCGAGTGGCAGAAGTCGCGGCCGCCGCGCCGAGCGCCGCGCGTCTCGCGCCCTCCCGACAAATTACCCTCATAAAAGTGACTCTAGTTCACTAGCTCCACTTTAAGTCGACTCAACACCTGTACATGCGAATTCCAACCGAAACATTAAATAATAAAGTACAAGTTACTATAAAAGTCTCGTGGTGCACTACGCAAACCTTGTGATTTCACGTTAACTCCGCAGTTTATTTCATTCAACCAAGAAACGAGTAACAAAATAGAAAATAATCTCTAGAAATTTGTGGTTTAAAAACTTAGTAAGTTTAAATGTTGTGTTATTTATATATTAATTACAAGCTGTGACTTGTTATTTTTATTTAAATTTGTTCAAGGAACGTTTGACCGTTCATTAAAATCACTATTTTATAGAATTTGCATATTTACAATAACTTTTATAAAGCATAATTGCTATTAATCGTGCTGATATTAAAAATGTGAAGTTTCGATTTATTTATCTATTTTTCATAATAATTTTACATACTTGGTTAAGATAACATACTTTGACAGCGACTCCTACACTAAGCTCAAGGTTTGTATAGCAAAAATCTTGTATTTTCTATCATTGTATAATTTTTTTTGCATTAATGCAGACTATTACAAAAGAAATAAATAAAAGTAACTAAGTAATAACATTATATATATATGTATGTGTGTTATATAAGAAGTTTTGTTATATAAGAAGAGTCATAGGTACATGGCTTGAATTATTGCTCAATAAAAGTAGTGTTTATTACCGACACAGGAACATGAAATAGGCAGCGTCGGATGAGACGACTAAAATCACAAGAGCTACTAATTTCTTCATGCATAGACATTGTTGCTTTTAAGAATTAGATCTGGCGAACCTTGAGCATTTTGTTTCCAATGTATAGTTTGTTAGTGGGGGATCTGAAATAATTTTTTGAGAAATGCACGTTGAAAGTTTGTAAATGAATCATTTTTGTTTGCACATCACCGCTCCAAGCTAGAAAACAAAAAGTGTAGTACAAATTGCGTTAATATTATATATATGTACTATAATAAGTGTATTTGTATCTGCGTAGTTTCTCAGTGACCTGATGATCTAAGTAAATTGTTAAATATAATTTGTTACATGTGGCATATGTTCCTCTAAAGGTAATTATACGTCCAGCAATGAACCTAACATAGCTAGCGAATAGTAAGCTTGTTTGCTATTGTTTCAACGACTTGATCCGCCACTGAAATTACAAGTATGCATGGTAAGTAGAAGGGCATCCGAAGGTCGCCATGACATCGTCATGCGAGACATATTTTGTTTTTGTCAAATTAAAATTAAGCAAGTTTCTTTGTAATCACTTAGCAATAATAATCATCCCTGTTCCTGCACCATCAATTATTTATAGAATATTGATTTCCGCGAAAGATAACTGCTGTATCATGAGCACAGAAAAAGACTTCTGCGTTCAGTGTAGGTAGCTCCAGAACATAGTTCATATAAATACAGAACAATGTAGGACCAAGAATGCTAACCTTAGGTATCCCTACATCGATGCTTCCCTATTTACTTGTTTTCAACCTTTTTTTTAAATACAGACTGTGATTTGTGAGATAACTATAGCGTCAATTTAATGCTACAACTCAGACTCCCTTAGTCTCAATTCTGCGTAATAATATGGGTAAGAATATGATATTGAAAGCCTTGAAATGATCCAAAAAAATACCGAAGCAACACTGATTATCCAATGTCTCTGCTACAACATCCGCCAATGATAACACTTGAATGTTCCGTGGATTTATCACATCTGAAACTTAATTGTCTTTCTGAAAGCTGACTATTTTTTAAAAAGACTTTTAGATAGTAGATGAGACGCTTATTTACATTTTTTCTTGAAGATTGAAAAATATACTTAGTAAAGAAGTGGGCTTAAAATTACTGGAAATAAATTTGTTGCTGTTTTATGTATTAAAGTAAGGATAGAAATTTTACATCGAGCAAGTATTCCTTTTAACAGGTTTAAATTACAAATAAATCAACAATATATCTTTTAATGTGTTTATTAAATATGGAGTACAACCATCGAGGCTCGGGGCGCTATGAGCTTTAAGGTCGTTACTCAGCGTTGCAATTTCTTATAAATGTAGTTTTCTTTTAAATATAGTACGACTAACAACTTCGATTTCAGCTGGTATAGTGCCGAAACGTATAGTATGGTAGACTATATCGCGATCGCCTGGCAGTTTTTCACGGCCGATCAGAGGTGTCACGGCAGGATTGCTCACTAAATCAGGCGCCCCTTAGCCGGTTACCTGCAGTGTTACCTTTATCTCACCACTGCTCGTAATGTATGGTTAAATTAACATCAAACTGGTTTTATATTGAAAATGATATTATATGGATAATATAATTGTTTTTTTAAATAACTAAATCTATGAATACTTTGATAACCAGAATCTATACTTGAATTTAATTATCTGACTTAAATTTATGACATATGAATATTTTTTTTTACAACACGCGGGGCAAATGAGCATACGGCTCACCTGATGGTAAGTGACTACCGCCGCCCATGATCACCCACTACACCAACAGCATTGCAGGTGTACTGCCGGCCTTTTAAAAAGGAATATGCTCTTTTCTCGTTTAGGCGTTACGTATAAATGCTTGAACACATGAGTGGTGACCATTTTGGTTGCATAATTTCAAATTAGGTATACCTAAGTATAGTAAACTTATAAGTTTATTTTTGTATTTCCATTTTCTTTAGATTGTGTTTTAGTTGTAATTGTTATTGACATGCGTCAAATAAATATATTTCTTTCTTTCTTTTAAAGCAATTTGAAGCAATTCATGTTCTTTATTGCTATAGTACAGGTAACAATAAAAAAAGAAAACAAACCATAGTAATGATGTTTATTATTATGGGTTTATATTATATTTATTATTATATTATTAAAAAAATAAATTTAATAAACACAGGCCTATTATAGTCCTGTGTTTATTTGATGGGATAGAGAGATATATAA